ATATGTGAACAAGGCACCAAAGAATCCATTTGTCAGCAGGCTCTGCCTTGAGATGTAGTATTTATGCCAATTTGAACCGGCTTTGATCATGAACATAAGCCATAGGATTGCTACAGCAAATACATAAAATGCAAAACCATATAATCCGGTTAGACCAAGTACACCTGCAAAAGTATTTACATATTATTCATGTTGGGAGTTACTTGAAAAAATAATGTAATGTAGAAAGAAAGTAAACCATTAGAGTTTCAGGCTCATCTGAGGAAGTAACAGTCTCACAGAAGGTGGGTGCGAAGTGGAAGTTTTATAGTTTCAACTTTTGTCTGGTGAGAGTTGACTGGGGCCACTTTTTTTTATAAGTCACCAATAAATAATTTGACATAAAACACATTGAAATCTTAGTTTCATTCTGAGAGCTTGAAACGGCAATTAAATTATTTGCAGTTATTAGCAAATTTAGGGCTGGTAACTTTAAGGCCAGTGAACCTGACTTAGATCCTTCAGTTTATTATAAAAATTTTACGATTACCTGCTGTTGAACCTGACAGGGCAGCCATAGAAGTTCTACAATACTCAACCACTGCTGCATTATTTCTGAGTGCAGCCTCGCTGTAAGCTATCGGTTCCGGTTTGTTATCTTTTACTTTAACTATACCAGACATTTTTAGAATGGAACGTCAATTAATTAAAAGGCGAATAAGGAACGGGTACAATGCAACACAGGCAAACTATAAATATAAATCTAATTTAAAGTAAATTATAAATAAAATAGACAAATACAATAGAATAATGGAGATGGACTGCCTGCACGCAGGATTGTAGATGTCAAATTGTCAACTGTCATTGTCATAGATTATAAGTAGTGATGTAGTTTATATAATAGTATAGGTATAAATACCCAATATGAACGGTAACAGTATGAAGACCGGGTATGAACGGCAGAGGCCCGTTCCCTACTCGATAGGTATTGTCGATATCACTCGCAAGTACGCGGACTTAGTGCCGCCTCATCAGACGATGGCGGTATTTTTTAACAGTTTTCTCAAAGACCTATATAACGTCAACAAAACACCGTCACACCGGTTCACGGGTCAGTAAATTATTATTTATGTCTGATTGTAACGAAACATACTATAAATATATATAAATTAGTAGAAGTATTCAGTATGTAGTTGTTAATTATTGTGTTAGTGCTCTTAGTACAGAATGATTTTTTAATTTTTGAATGAAGATTTTAATTAAGAATTTACTTTATTCAGTTTTTTAACACGTTTCCGTAGTTGTTTACGTTGTAAGTTGTTTTTCTTTGTAGAAAAAGTAAAACCCTGGCCGCTAGCCTTCGGCCGCAATACAAAATAGGTACGAAGTGCCCCGAACGGTTACGGCAGCTCCTCTAAATTGCCCCGTGCCTAAATTTAATTGTACGATTTAGGCATTTTATTACAAATAATTCCATGAGATAAATTTGTTCCTTATTTTTATAACCATTCGGTGGATAAATAATTGCGTAATAATGTTAAAGATTAATATTTATTTTGATTAATTTTTTTCTTTTGGTAAAAAGGTTCTTTACGCCAATAAAGACAGAGTTTAACTTAGACTGAATGAAAACAATTATTTTGAGATGTTATAGATATACCGTACTTACGAAAAAGCAATACGAAAGACATTTAAATTCCAAAAAACTAATTGCTTAAAAACCGGCGCACGAAAGGCTCCGTATCATTGTCTATAAAAACGGCAAAAAATCATGTCTGTTGTATGGAAGCCCCACTTAAATATTTTTTATTCTTTTTTTTGTATTTCTTGTTATAGCGGCAACAGATATACATCATCTGTGAAAATTTCAACTGACTTAATATCACGCGATTCATGAGATACAACCAGGTGTAGACAGACAGACAGTCAGCGAAGTCTTAGTAATAGGGTCCTTATCCTTTGGTACGGAACCCTAAAAACATCTAAATGTTCCAAAGGTCGTTCGATTCGATCGCGTCTCCAAGACGGGTATACGGTGATACGCGTACCTTTGAGTCGCAGTTATATCCATGCCTAATTATAAGAGTAACAGGTACCTGACATACTGTTCATTGTCATTGCCAGTCACTGTCAATCATATATTTTTCTTTATAACATAGTTTACCGACTTGGGATTTCCCCATACAACCTGTCAAAATATATATTAATTCTTGTTCTTTCTTTTTTGTTAATTGTACATTTATTTCTGTCATAATGTGTGTTATATGACAGAAATAAATGTACAATTATTATGTACATATATTTAGCAATATGGCTACAAAATAATTTTAATCTGTTTAATTAGTCATATTTTAAAAGAATAAGGTGTGACTGAGTATATATTTGTAACAGAAGAAGTTTCCAAAATATATATAATAAGAGTTCATTTAATAACCAGAATGGAAGAAAGAAATTATCGGTCGTAGTCGAAATGAAGTATGCCATAAGAAATTAGCGCAATATGAAAGAGCACACTTTTTAGCGAAGTCATAAAATAAACGTTATAAAGCTGGCAAAATCAAAGTGCGTAAGAATGCCACTATAATTATAAAACTTTGTTTGATTTAAAACAAAATGATTTATCTTCTGTTCTAACAACTTTTGAGCTTTCTTTGAAATATTTAACATAAAGTGCACTTAAGATGAAACTAAAATGAATGATTAACAAACTAAAATGATAAAAAAACAAAATAAATAAAACATGAGCAATCAGAGTGATTAACTTAGTTGTTAAAGCGTCTGGGCGTGATTTCGAAAGACGAAGGTTCAATTCCTGCAGCGGTGAAAAACTTTCGTCCATTTTGCCTTTCCTTGTTAATTAGAATTAATTGTTAGATCATGGTCTTACTAAACGAATTAATTACTTAAAGTAAAGCTTATATTGTACGAACATCCATTCAATTAATATTTTCATTGATGCTGGCAAACTTGCCATTAGCATTTACTTAGCAACTGCTAAACCCATATTATTGTTTAATTAATGAGAATGTAGTATTCATATAATTACAAGTACTGGCAAGTTAAATTAAGTACTAATCTATTTTTAAAAATAATTTGATTATTATGAATTATGAAATTTAAATAATGATTAAAATATATTAAAATTTTTATATATTCCAATGATTGTATATTTATGGTAATTAATTAAAGAAAAATTGACTAAATAAGTTTAATTATTTCACCTATTTACCTGAATTACTAAGTTTTAGATTTTTACTTTCCCTCATATTCAGCATAGAAATTTTTATTTTGTACTGAATTTAAAACCAGTATGATAGCAATAAAGCGTTGTGACTTGCCTTTGACTACAATATAATATGTTAGTGTATGCACATTTGTTACACACACATCACAAGTTTAGTTTTAATCATACACTTTTCCCAACTCACACTAGCATCGAATTTGACGCACACATACACATAATTCTGCCTGTATTCTGTAGTAATTTTTCGCGGCATCAAGCGTCGTTGAACTTATTTTCTATTGAAAAACTAAAATCAAGTGAAATTATTTACTGTTTTGTGTGTTTATACCGAGTTTATTATTTTTAACGACGAATATTGTGCTAGCTAAATTGTTTCTGTAAGTTATTCTTTATTTTCATAATAATAAAAATATGATGGCGCGTGGATGACACTTACAGAGGGTCCCAGTTCGTAACAAAATAGTACTTTGCTGTAATTGTAATTGAACGTTGTGTGATATATTAAATGTTTTAACTTCTGTGCCTCCCACACTTTGGGAAAATGTTATTCTATTAATTATATCGCTTAAAAGCGGTTTATAAAAAAGGAAATTAAGTTTCCGATTAGTCGGGACTATAAGTAGTCAGTTGGCTTCGGTACTCCCGTTTGGATTAAGAACTGCCATTATGTTGGGTGGTCAATAAATTAGCGTAACGTCAATGTAAATTGTATGTGCTAATTTTGTATTCATAAAACTCCCTAACACTGTCTAAACGCGAATAATTTTGTGTGAATAATTCAATAACCTAGTTGACACTGAAGCAACTTCATTTCGTTTCTTTTGTTTCAGCCATAGCTCGAACAGATTTTCTGGGCATCGCAATCAATTTGGTCTACTCGGACGATATTTTTTCCACTTCCCTTTTGACATTAATAATTATGTGTATGTAAAATTTGTATCAAATAATTTTCGTAGGCGACACGATCTTGTATGATATTACGTCAGCGCCGTAATTCAAATCCTGAATGAATTTATAACAGTACGAAATGGAAGAATCAGAAGATAATTTGAGTGTAGAAGAGATTAGATATATTGATAGTCCTACATTTGTTCGGAATAAATCTAAAAAGAGGTCCCTTGTTGAGAGGGAGCTAGAAACGAATTTAACAGCTAGGGTGACCTCTCCAATTACAAATGGAGAAAGCAGTAGCACAAGCCGGTATGGCAGGGCACGTCGGCTTAAAACCGAAATAGATTCCAGTGATTCCGAGAGATCTATAACAAAAGCGATGATATCGCCTAAATTTGAGAAATCTCCTATCAGAATTCAATCACCTGTTTATAAAATGCATGCTTCCAATTCTCCATTAAGGATTGAAACACCGATGAGAACTTCTGACAATAAACTAGAAACACAAATAGAAAATATATATAATGAAAACATATCACTTAGTCGTTTTGGACCTGAAGAAAAAGTTTTTAACTCACCCGCCAAAAAGTTTTCTAAAGTTTATATAAGAAAAGATTTAATTCAAAGTAAGGAAAAGGAAAAAGAAGAAAATATAACATTGATAAAAAATATATTTTCACCTGTGAAAATCAGTAAACCAAGTAGCTCACATTTAGGAAACATTCTGGAGAGGTCATCCGAAAAGTACAATCCATGCGGATTGCAGAAAAATGGTCATTTAGACACATTATCGGTGGTAAAAACATTGGATTTTGATGGAAATAAAAAGAAAAAAAGAGAGGATAGAGATGGGAAAGGATGTCTATCTAAAAGTGACATTTTTGATATGGAGGCAAAATGCGAGTATCAAGTTGGTGATCTGGCCTGGGCAAGGATGGGTACATACCCTTTCTGGCCTTGTATCATAACAAGAGACCCATTGAGTGGCACATTTGTTAAAAAGAAATGTAAGTATATAATTTTCTTATAGTTATTTATATACTTGCCATGCCATATATATCTTTAGAATCAAGAGGGTAAGGATAAATAATGACATAGATTAATGACAACTGTTTGAGACCATCTGACAAATGTATCAGTATTTAAAATGTACTTTCAGGGTCACTGTAACTACTGACTTACATTTAAATAAATAGTATTAAGCATTTATCACATGAACATATTTGCCAGATGCGGCAACATGAGTAGAAATTAAGATGACAGAAAAAAATATTGCAGATATATTATTTTCCTATTGTTATTACGATTATGTATTTTGAATAGTATTAATACTAAGGAATTAAACAAGTCAACTGTACAATAAGTAAAATAATTATATTAAATCAAATGTGAATATGTCAATAAAATGTAAAGTGTAACATCTATAACAATAACTACATATTGCAGAATGGTAAAGATTATACTTTTGTTTCAATAACATTTACTCTAGCAGTGGGATATTTGATACTATATTACCAGTAGAAGCAAAATACAATTTTTTTTGTTCCGTGGCAGAATAATATTATATCTTACCACTACATTTATATCTTTCCACTACAGTATTGTCATTTTTATTAAATGGCCTCTGGTGATAAACTAGAAACTTCCTGAATGTAAAATAATACTAGCTGTCCTGGCAAACATTGTTCTGCCATATAAATTATTTCTAGGGATCTTGTAGGGTAGAAAAAATTGATTAGGGTGGACCACCCTTAACATTTAGGGGGATGAAAAATAGATGTTGTCTGATTCTCAGATTTAAATTTGTTTAGATAAGACTGAGAAGTTTATTTATACACATAGCACTCTTTTTTGCTCAATAGAAGTGCTTTTTAAATGAAAGCTCTTTTCCCATACTACTAACCCATATCTCAATATTGTTGCCACATGTTCATGATAGGCTGTGATAGAAGTTTGAGGTGAAGAAATTTTTATTAATCTATTGTAAATCTACTAACTTTTCTGCAGATTTTATCAGTAATGTTTTCTGTCAAGCATCAATCCCAGAAAATTGTTTATTTTTTTCATTATTTATATGTTTTAAATCTTATATATAATGTATTTATAAAGCAACTCATTAAAATACAATTTGTCTTACTTTGAATAATGCAGCTGCAGTTTTTTTTTAGTGTTTAGTTTAATTTTTAGTTTGTACCTATAAAATTGGATGTTGCTACCATATTATCTCATGTATTTCTGTGCACAGAGATATGCCCAAAGATTGATATTGTTTTGTTATGTAACCTTTGATAGCATAAGGTAAGCACATATAAAATATTTATATAATTATTCATTTTATGTACGATATCACATGTTGTCATGGTAGAGCATAGTCTAGTGTTTGTGTCTTTGTGTTACCAGTATTAATGTTGTTCAATTAATTCCACACACAGATATAACTCATATAGTAATTCAATAAATATGTATAAAGTCATATCACATATGTAAGTCTACTATTATAAATAAAAAGTATGAGGTAGTTTGTACCTTATCAATTTATTTACCTTATGATTGTATTTTTAGAAGTATTGAATTTATAATAGTCCTACCAAATGGTTCTTATACCATAATTAAGAAGTATTGTCAAAAACTTGTAAAAGTTGTCTGAATAAGTTTTTATGGAAATATGTAAAATATCTATGAAACCCTGCCATTGCTGCATGAAACCTCTTTCAATTAAAATAATTGAACTTAAATTTATAACAGCAAAAAGGGGTGGTGAATATCATTAAACAAAACTATCAAGCTAAACGTATTGACATTTATAAATTTCATGTTATGTGTCGGAGAAATTACTTCATGAAAGAAAAATACATTCCTTACATTTTCTTTATCATATTTTACTTTTAATCAAAACTTTACTTTTAATTCTACTACAGTGTTAGTTATGTTATCTGTATTTATGTTTTTGCTTCTGACTTTTACAGTGTTTGGTCGCATAGAACATGATGTGCTACATGTTACGTTCTTTGGTGACAATGGCCGTAGAGGTTGGATCGTTGACAACATGCTAAGAAAGTTCTTAGGCCGGCTAGAGTTTGAAACAGAACGAGATAACTACACAGTTGAGGTTTAGTATTTAACACTTAAAAATAATTTAGGACACATTTTTACACAACATTTTCTAGCCCCAAACTAAGCAACGCTTGTACTATGGGTACTAGAAAACTGATAAACATACTTAAACATACTTAAATTATTAAATTATTAAATTATTTAAATTAAATTATTTCACTTACCAAGTTCTGTCTATAGAACATTTTTTCTTGAATAATAAAAATAATATAATTTATTTGGATTTGAGTGTACAATACACAGCTTATCAGCTCCAAGTTCAACCATTATATAAACTATAACTTTGTTGGGACATTTTCATAGTTATCATGATACTTATTCCTTAAACAAATATAAATTTCTATGTCAAATATCCTTAAGCAATTAGAAAGTATGTTCAAGGAGCCACTGACTTTACTACCATTTAAATTTATTTTTATGAAAACATATCTTATAATGTAAAATGTAAACACTCCTTATAATGTAAATATAAGTTCCGGGGCAAATATGGTTTGATTTATTAATTTTAAAAACTGTGAAATAATTTATGTTAATTGATAATTTATTATTATTTTCTGTTATCATAACAATTTTTATATAATTGTTTTAAAGTATTGATATTGACAAAACACTTTTAATGATACAGGAAAAGAAACGTGATCCGAAACTGTATGGGGCCTTTTTCATATCAGAAAAGAAACAAACCCAATGGTCAATATCAGTTGATGAGGCAGAAGCATTGATGCGGGAACCAAAGAGGCTCAGAATTGATATTTTACGAGACATGCTTGTAAAGTCGCAATGTTCGAAAACTACGCCAAAAATAGAAAGGAGCAAAAAAGTGACTAGAACAAATAGTGATGTGTCATTAAGTGAGAGTTTGTACGACACATTATTTTCCGAAGATGATAGTAAAACCCATGAAAATGAGCGGTCTAGAAGTAAAACTAGAAATAAGTCTTTAGATGTGTCGGAGGTCGTTACCGCATGCCTTGACAATATGGCTGCGAAAACGGGTATAACAAAAATTCAAAGGCAATCTCATATGGACCGATGGTTACAAAAGGCGAAATCTAAAACACCCGAAAAATCACTTCTAAAAGCTCAAACCACACCAAAGATTGATAAAGACTCGAAAACAAACAATAAAAAACACAAACGATCGCCATCTAAAGAATCGAGCACTAAAAAATCACTCAGTTTGAGAAGACGTAGGAATGAATCTCAGGATGATATTGAAATCAAATTGCTATCACACCAAAACGAACACGATTATAGTAAAAAAGATTTTGAATCTGATGTTAACAATGATAATCTCATGCAGGAAGTAGAAAGCAATAAATTTGAAGAGTTAAGTGAAAATGTTTATATTGGGCAAGTGGATTCAAGTATTGGGAGTGTAGAAAGTGTTGGTAATTATAATAAAGACGGCGAAGAAAGCGATGTACATTTGACAGTTGTAAATGAAGAATTAATTGAAACGGAAAGTGATCATAATATACAATTATTACCGGAAAAAATAATATCAGAATTTAACGACATCGAGTCCACGGCAGCAGATGGCGACGAGGTAGTACTTGAATCAATGACGAAATCAAATGAAAATTTACTAACGAACTTAGCTGATCAAGATGACTTTAATGAAATAAACAATTATGGTACAAATGTAAATAAAAATGATACAGTATTAGATAATAATGATTTTAACCAGATAGAAAAAATGAACTATGATGATTGTGAAGATGGAAGCGTTGACTCCACTACGAATTTAGACGAATGTCAAAGAATGGATTTAGATGTGAATGACGGTTTGGAACATGAGAAAAACGCAGCAGGTGGTAGTGCAGACGAGCAAACTGAAGATACCGAAGAAAGCGATTGCGACGGATTCCAATCATCTGAGGATAATGAAGACTTAGATAGCAATATATCTGCTACTTTGACAGAGTCCACGGTCGTGACGTCTGAAAAATATGAAGAAATGGATGATACATCCGCAGGTATCACCGATTTTATTGTGTTAGACACTGCAATTAATAAAGACATAGCAATTAATGAGATGAAGGACGAAACGGATACTGAAGATAGCACCTCAACAAATTTTTGTGACAATTCTGACAAAAGTGAAGCGTCAAAAAACCGTGACACTGACATTAATTCTGATGATATTACGGAAACTACATCATCTCATAGTTATCAAGGATCCGTTGTCGAAGATCGTAATAGTAGGAGTGACGAATTACGTAACGTAAAATTAGATCTGGAATCTTCCATTAACATTGTACTAAGCAACGCTGTGACAATAGAGGGCAATCTCACGAATTGCGAAATGGTGTGTTTACCACGGGTAGTAGAAAAAAATGATGAAAACACTATTATAAACTCTAAGTGTGATAAAATCGACATTGATAATAATAGTAATAGCGAAAATAAAATTTGTTTTGGAAGTAGTTTAACTGATGACAACTCAAATAAAAATGTCCAAAGTACTTTTTTAGGGGATTACCCGAAAACTGAAGATATTTCGAAGCATGAAGAAGAAAAGGAGTGTTACGATGCGCCTACAGTAAATGGCGATGTTGAACCCAATAGGATATGTGACACGGCGCTAATCGACGAAAAAGCTTTTTTAGACGAGAGATCTAATCGGACCTCGGTTGCTGAAACCGAATCGATGGACTCCGACAACACTGAAGAACTGCTGAGCTCCAACGACCCACAATCCGAGATAGATCCCGTCGGTTACAATTCAAAAGCGAACGTCGACCCCAAATCCATCGAAAATAATGACGACTCGGTCTCTGTGACCTCCGAGACCAACTCTGAAATCTCCGAATTCAAACACAGAACGAAACCAAAGCACGGAAGACCGGCCGATAAACATTTCACGTCCCTCAAAAGTGGGCTGGAGGACCCCGAGTTCTTAAAATACCTCGAGCTGCGCCAAGATGCCCTGATCGATGAGAACCCGAGTATAACGCAAGAGGAGATAACAAACTACCTGTACAAGACATGGCTCTACGAGGAGAGCTCGAAGTCTGAGAGGAAAAGGACCGACGACATCGAACAGGCGGCTTTGGTGAAAGGTCTGAATCAGGAGCCCGTCCAGCCAAAGAAACCAAGGAAGAGGATCAAGGTCAACAAGGAGATCTACAACGACGAGGATGGAATGCCAAAGGCGAAATCGAAACGGAAGATAATCAGGCCGTATTACAACGAAGACTACTCGGATCTCGACAGCGACTTTGAAATGTACGAAATGTTCAACAGCAAACCCAATAGTGCTCTCAAATCAACCAACGCCCCTCTAGAGAACGGCACTGTTGATGGAGGGAACTGCAACGAAGCGGTGCTTCTCAGCGGCGATGACTACGATCAGGTGGAGGAGTACTTCGACCAGCTGACCAGGCCGAAGCCGAACCTGTTCAAGGGCCTGATCAGGGAGAGGGTCTGCGAGATCTGCGAGAGGTCCGGCAACCTAGTGAAGTGCAAGGGCTGCCACTCAACGTTTCACACGGAGTGCACCAAGAAGGAGACGGAGGCGATAGAGGCGCAGCTGCCCACTCGGGGCCGAAAGAAGAAGAAACGCAACAGGGGCAGGAAGCGGAAGTCCACCGAGGACTCTAACGGCGCCGACGTGGGCAGCCAGAGCGACGAGCGGTCGCCGGAAGACCAGAACCAGTCGCTCGACGAGATCGTAGCCGAGCCGCGTATCGTCGTAGACGCCGACGAGGCGGAAACGCGCCTCTGCGCCGCAATGCGCGAGCTGTTCGACCAGGGCAAAGAGTACCTCTCCGACTCGAGCGAGAACGAGCTCAGCTGGAGCGACGCGGAGGCGGGCAAGTGCCGCATCGTCGACGTGCCGCTGCCCTCCAAGAGGCGGGCGGGGCTCGTTGCAGACGTCGACTTCCGTTGCAACGGGTGCTCGCGCGGCGACGAGCCCGCCTGCTTCGTGTGCAAGTCGGCGAGATCGCCCCGCGACGGCGCGGAGTACAGGCAGCGGTGCCAGGTGGCGCACTGCCACCGCCGCTACCACCAGGAATGCCTGGAGCACTGGCCGCAGACGCAGCTCAGCCCCGGCGGGGCGGGGCGCTCCGGCCGCAAGCCGGCGGGCTACTTCGAGCCGGTCACGTGCCCCCGCCACGTTTGCCACACGTGCGTGTCGGACGACCCGCGCGGCTGCAAGACCCGCTTCAGCGGCGACAAGCTCGCCCGCTGCGTCCGCTGCCCCGCCACCTACCACACGTTCACCAAGTGCCTGCCCGCCGGCACGCAGGTGCTCACCGGCTCGGCGATCGTCTGCCCCCGGCACTACGAGCACAGGTAACGCACGTTTAGGATTTTTTGTTTTTTTTCTATGTGAGAAAGTGGCAACGAGCTGGTGGTTCACCTGATGTTAAGTGATAACCGCCGCCCATGTACATTTGCAACACCAGTGGGGTTGCAAATGCGATGCTACCTTTAAGTTAAGTGGGCCCCGGCTACCTAACTCACCAGACGAAATTCAGAAGTGTAATACTACTACTTTACGCCGATCTTCTGTGAGGTGAAGACCGGCGTCAAGTGGAAGTATAATACGTTCGCGTTTCGTCTGGTGAGTGAGGTAGCCGGAGCCCAATTTTCAAAAGGTTGTCAACGCATCTGCAACCCTCGGGTGTAGTAGATATCCATGGGCGGCGGTATTCACTTAACATCAGGTAAACCGTCTGCTCGCTTAGCAACGTTTCACATAAAAAAATAAACTTTCTCATACAAAAAACGCAAATACAATAGTATTTTTATGCATGGCCTATGGCGTATTTTTATCCTCAGGCCGGGGAAAGTGCCGTGCCACGTGAACACGGGCTGGTGCTTCATCTGCGCGCTGGGCGGGTCGCTGATATGCTGCGAGTACTGCCCCACCTCCTTCCACGCGGAGTGCCTCAACATAAAGCCGCCCGAAGGTCCGTGTCTGGTCCGTGCTGTTCAAGATTGAACCTTATCTACCGTCACTTGTGGTCGATAAGCGAACTAACAGCGTCTATAAAGTATCTTTACCTTAAAATATTATGTAGAAAAAGTGCGAAAAGATTGTCGCCGTTGTGGGAATCGAACCCACGTCTTCGGCATTCGCGGCCTGACGCTCTAGCCACTGAGCTAAATGGCTGATTGCCACACCGACGAAAATCTTAACGTATTCTTCTACATTGTTTTCTTAGCATTTGAAGCAATGCTTGCTTCAATGGCTTGGTGTGGCAATCAGCCATTTAGTTCAGTGGCTAGAGCGTCAGGCCGCGAATGCCGAAGACGTGGGTTCGATTCCCACAACGGCGACAATCTTTTCGCACTTTTTCTACATAATATTTTAATGTTCAATCTTAAGTGCAAAGATTAGCACTATAAACAATTTAAATATCTTTACCTTGCTATTTAATGAAGGTCCGTATCTGATCGTAGATCCCTGCTATTCAAGATTGAACCTTATGTACTATCGCCTGTGGTCCATAAGCGTCTATAAAGTACCTTTACCTTGCTATTTAAGAGTGAACCTTATGTAATATAGCATGTGATACATAATCGTGTGATTGCGTTGACAGTAATGAAATCATGCGTAATGTTAAACTCATTCTCTCAGCATTTACGGAACAGACGTTACTTTCTCCACACCGCCGTTCCCTTTTCTACTGCAAATATTAATTTGGACTTGTGCGAAGTCAAGAACAGGTTCGCAGTTTTCTGTGGCTAACCGCGCATCTTCATTAATTCCAGGTGGTTACATGTGCGAAGACTGCGAGACGGGTAGACTGCCGCTCTACGGCGAGATGGTGTGGGTGAAGCTCGGCCACTATAGGTGGGTGTGGTAGATAGAGATGGTGAGGGGATGGTGGTTGAATGCAATAGATCGAAGGTTTGCTTTTTGACGTGTAAGTGACCAAAAAAAATAATAATTTTCTCACGTTTGTAAAGAAAAATCAGAAATTTCACTGAGATAACGAATAATAAAAAGTTTGACAATCGACTAGTGGCTTAGGTGCTGGAGGTCGTGTGTTCGATTTCAACATGAGACAATTATTTGTATGGCTCACAGATAATTGTTCCGGATCAAGATGTTTGTTCTTAAAAAGAGTTGACGGTCGAAAAACACCTGGTCAGTGACCACTAAGAACAGGGCAGGAAGATAATGACACATAATTATAATATAATTATGTTTGTACTCGATTTTGAGTATTTACTTGATAAATTTATTTTAACATTATTAAACAAGACTGCTTTACTGATTTTGAATAGTTCATATAAAGCAAAGATATGTTAAAAGAACTCTCTTCTAAAACATGTAAATTGAAACATTATCATTATCAGCAAACAACATCAACAAACATTATCAGCTATTTAAAAATAGCTCTTATTATTGACTGCATAAAGTCTGTAATGAGTTTGTGTTTTCTCTTCAAGATGGTGGCCCGGCATCATCCTTCACCCGTCCGAGATCCCAGCGAACATAATGGCGGTGAAACACTCGCCCGGCGAGTTCGTGGTTCGCTTCTTCGGCCAGTACGACCACTACTGGGTCAACAGGGGCAGAGTGTTCCCGTTCCAGGAAGGTAATGATCATGTCATATTATGGTTGTTTGAAAGTACAGTCAGAAAATAGGTTTTATAGGTAGCATAATATTTTGCAATATATTGATTACATTTGCTTCAGTACATGGCGAGTGGCGTGCACAGTGATTTTAGATAGGGTATGAGCTACAAAAGAACTTAACAATATCAGCATTGTTTCGGTGGGTCCTGTATGTACATAAAATGTACAAAAAACATTGAGATGATGTCGGGACATTGACAAGATGTCAGGTTAATCAATAAAATGGAAAGACACAAATTATAACAACAAAGTTATGATTAAAATTTTGGGCATGTTTGTATGGGACAACATAGTTTGGAGTTTTTATGTGTGTATGGAGTGCACACATATGGATGAAAATTGCATTTCTGTTTATTAAATACATAATTTAATGAATTAATGTACTTGAATTATGAGGCATGATAAATCCTTAAAAGTTTCACTAAAGCATTTCTTAAAGATAATTTTTAGTTAAGCTAAGCACATGTGACAATGTTACATGTTATACCTTTAATCTATAGATATGTTTGGTGGTCTGTGTTTATTAAATAGGCCATTGTTTACAGTAAATATGTTATCAGGGTTATCATTATTTTTTCGTTGTTATGTGAAAAAAATCACTTTAAATGTATTAAGCAACTTACATCTATAGATATTGTGCAGGGTTTAAAATGTAAATTATAAAATGTAAAAAAAAAAGCAATTGAAACTTAAAAATTATATTATAATAATAAATCTAAATTTATTTAACATTGTAGTATATTTACGATATGTTTATGATATGCTCTTTCTTACTTGCAGGTGATTCAGGCAAATTGTCGAGCCAGAAGTCTAAAATTGATGTGGCATTCTCCATGGCCATGGAACATGCTCAAAGGGCGTGCGAGATATTGAAGAGTAAGCTGCTATTTATTTAATATCTAATTTATTTAATATAGTCTTGTTACTAGTTGAAGCTTTATAATGAAAAAGTTCAGTTTTTTTTCCAAAAGTCAACAGAAATTTCGTATGTGATTTGTCTTATGTTATATGTATGAACTATTGTTGCTCTTAAATACCTCCCTACTACCTTTTATACCTATATTAGGGAAATGTGAATCTGAATTGAATTTCAGTTATCACTAAGTAATGTTGCTGATAATTCTTAAATAAATTGAATTATTTATTATAATATTTATTCGATTACTGTCTATTTTTATAGGTCATCCAGATATGTCTAAAATAAATTTCAGTTAGTTCATACAGTAGAGCGGTCATTGAAGCATAAAAGTATCATTCTCTAAAATAAACTCTTGTTTTGTTTTTGTTCGTTTTATTTTCGGTGTGCAATAAAGTATATTCATTCATTCATTAAAACTAGTCAGTTCTGATGTCCCAACTCCTTGCAGCCGTGGAGCCCAACGAGGAGGAGTCGCTGGACATCGCGTCCTCGCTGCTGCCGCCGCACTACGTGAAGCTGAAGGTGAACAAGCCGTGCGGCTCGCTGGTGGGCAGGCGGCCCGACGCGGAGGCCTCGCTCACGCAGTGCGACTGCGGGCCCGACGATGAGGACCCCTGCGGGCCCTACTCGCAGTGCCTCAACAGGTGCGACCCGCCGCACGCGCCGCCCTGAGCGCCCCTGCAGAGTCTCAGTAAACAGCTAGAGCTTAAACTCCCCTGAAATATACGTTTCGTGACTGATGCAAGTCCAGATAAAAGGGAGGGTTGCCCCACAGTAGCACCTAAACTACGAGTTCGTTCGATTTTTATCAGTTCAATCGTTATTATGGGCCGGGTGACATTAGCCATATGTTGAGGACCCCTGCGGCCCTACTCGTAGTGCCCCAACAGCTGCGTCCCGCCACACGAGTCTCAGTAAAGAGCTAGAGCGGCGCGACCCCGCTTCTTAAACTCCCCTGAAACGTATATTTCGCGGGTGGTGCAACTTGAACTACGCATACATTCGATATTTATGAATTAGTTGTCAATCGTTGTTATGGCCCGGGTGACATTAGACATGTTGACTCCTACGGGCTCTACTCGCCTTGCATCAATTGGTGCGACCCGCTAAACACGGCGTCGTGAGTGCCCCTGCTGAATCTCAGTAAAACGTTAGAGCGGCACGCGTCTGGTGAGTGAGGTAACCGGGCTTTTCAAAAGGCGGCAATGTAACTGGCATCCTTTTTTTACCGTGGGTAAAAAAAAGGATGCCAGTTACATTGCATGAGCCGTAAAATTCTTTTATGGATCCTCTGCCACAGAATCGGGAGAGTGGCAGGGGTATGTGGGAGTCCCGGAAACGGGTACCCACTAGAAAACCCACGTTGCACTTGTCTCTGTCGCATCGGCCGGGGACACGGAACACGTAGACGCAACATTCCGCGACCCCGACGCGACTATGGCCTTTTTGGGCCCCGTCTTCTGAATATTGTGCGTGCAATTGGCACAGCACCCTTCACGTGCCCCATATTGCACTTAACTATCACTGAGCAGTCCGCTTCGGTCGCGCCCGCAGGATGCTGCTGACCGAGTGCGGCCCCTGCTGCCGCGCCGGCCCGCGCTGCAACAACCGCGCCTTCGAGCGGCGCGAGTACCCGCGCCTCACGCCCTACCGCACGCCGCAGCGCGGCTGGGGCCTCAAGACGCTCGACCACATACGCGCCGGTGGGACGCCTTTGTGTTTGGCCTATGTTGATAAATGCTCGCGTGTGTGTGCGTGCGCGCGCGCGCGTGTGCGTGCGTGAATGTGTGCGTGCGTGTGTGTGTGTGTGTGTAGCAAAAGAAAAATAACTAAAAAAATGTATGTGTGTGTGTTAATCCATGTACGCAAGTTAGAAATTATACCCCTTTGGCACATAGCAAAAGAAGAAGAACTAAAAAGTTTATTCCGTGTGCTGTGTGTGAAAAAAAGACAATGAATGCAATTGATGATTAAACAATTTGGGAAATGTCAAATGGTTGTTATTATGTCATAGTAACACCATTTAATTGTGGTAGGGCTATGCATCAGTTTGCTGTTGCACGAATGGGCAGATCCGTTAGGGGAATTGCCACAACCTCACAGAATACCGGCGTGAATTGAAGTGTTGTAAAAAATCACTTATCATTTTTCCAAACACGCCAAAATAAGAATAACTTCAAAAATTACCTTACTGTAGGATACTGTTATCCGAATATAGAAATCTGTTATACGATCGAACACCTAGATTAGAAACAATTATCTCTGGGTATAGCAAATAATTGACCGGTGTGTTTATCGGACCCACGTCCCCCGGAGCTAAACCAATACCTTGGCAACTGCACCACGGAGTCATCAAATTTGCATCTAATATTGCAGGCCAATTCGTGATCGAGTACGTCGGCGAGTTGATAGACGAGGAGGAGTTCAAGCGGCGGATGGTCAGGAAACACGAGATCCGGGATGAGAACTATTACTTCCTCACGCTGGACAAGGAGAGGATGATCGATGCGGGGCCCAAGGGGAACCTGGCCAGGTATTTCACATTGACAAGATACAAGACGAAGACTTTTTTCTTTATGTGTGAATAGTTGTCAAGCGAGCAGACTGTTCACCTGATGGTAGGTGAATACCGCCGCCCATGGACATCTGCCACACCCGAGGGTTGCAGATGCGTTGACAACCTTTTGAAAATTGGGCTCCGGCCACCTCGCTCACCAGACGAAACGCGAAAGTATTATACTTTCACTTTAAGTCGGTCTTCTGCAAGGTCGTGGTACTTACCCGGACGAGCCCGCCCACCCATTTAACAGCCGAGGCTGCTGCCACGCCCTACCACCGTGAAGATGATGTTTTTTCTATGTAAGAACATGTCAAGTAAGCTATTAACTGGATTCATTAGTTCTACAAGGTAAGTTGCACATAATGTCCACCAGAAATTTCACATCGGGTTGAACCGTTTGCTCATTTGCCAACTTCCATTTTTTTATGAGAGAAGATGACAAGCGAGCTGGCGGTTCACCTGATGTTAAGTGTTAACCGTTCGCCTATGAATTTCCGTTTCCACCTTTTAATAAAGTGGGCCCCTTCTACCTCACTCATCAGACGAAACGCCGAAGTATAATACTTCCACTTTACGCTGGTCTTCTGTGAGGTCGTGGTACTTCCCTGGACGGACCTGCCCATTCGACCTACAGCCTTACAGACCTTGGATCGTTCAATTAGTATTGGTCCATTTCGGCTTGTGTTTACACCTACCAGGCTTTACTGATCTGGTGTGTTTACCATTTATGGCCGCTTAATGTGAGTTCGGATTAAGATTTGATCTTTATATTATGTTTTTGAAAAGACCGAATTTTTTTTGGAAACGCGGCATTCCATATGGGAAACCACCTCGTCGGATTGGTAATAACAATGTCATCTAAATATTTATATTTAATTTCAGGTTTATGAATCACTGTTGCGAGCCGAACTGCGAGACCCAGAAGTGGACAGTGCTGGGCGACATTAGAGTTGGGCTGTTTGCGTTGCGTGATATACCTCCCGTAAGTGATCTATTGGTACTAAAGTTATATATCTTGTTTATATTTCATGAAAACTTTAGTTAAGCAGTACTAAGTTAGGAGTGTGTAGTGTTAGTGGAGATGTAATGTTTCTTTCCACCTACGCCGGCACAACATGTGAGTTATGCTGTTAAAGGTATTGGCAGAATCCAGAATAATCCATCTCAGATAATCCTCCGGAATAATCCTCTGTGGGAAACACAAATTCTGTCCCTGTGTGGGGATTGAACATACGACCTGTGGAAGCTGCCAACTGCTTTGCCGCTGCGCCAACCGAGTGATCGTTTGATTTGATTTAAACTTGTTCCAGGCTTTTATATGATTATTTTTTGTTTTTAGTGCACTCAAGATGAAATTTAAATGTGAGTTTTATAAATAAACTAGCGATCCGCCCCGGCTTCGCACGGGTACAGTGCATTATACATATTAACCTTCGTCTTGAATCACTCTATCTAGTAAAAAATACCGCATCAAGATTCGTTGCGTAGTTTTAACGATCTAAGCATACATAGGGACAGACAGACAGCAGGACGACTTTGTTTTATACTATGTAGTGATTTGCGAAAGATTTTCGGCGAGAACCCTATGTGTATATGGTAAGGCGGCCAAAGGCTCTAGCGAACTGAGCTAATCGCCAACTATTTTATTTATATTGATAACTATTTTTTGTTGCAACTCCTTGTTTTTGCAATATTTTACATGTTCGAGTCTTGGCAGCTTCGAACATGTTTCCTTTTTTTTATGTTAGAAGATACGCTACGGAGAAGTGTAACACTTCCATTTCACGCCAGTCTTCGTTTGAAATCGTGTTTATTCCCAAGATGGACCTGCCCATTAATGCAACAGTGAAGACTGTTGCGTGGCCTTACCAAAGTTATACAATTCAATTAATTGATTAGACTAAATATAATTTTTTTACTTTTAACTGGGACCTACTAAATTAAAATGTGGCAATGCATCTCAAACCCTGCGGGTGATGCAAATGTAATTGGGAGGGGGACATCATTTAACAACAGGTGGACCACCATCTCGCTTGTCACCTTCTCACATAAAAAAAGATAATTTATTCAAAACACTAAAGTTTAAATTAGCACCAATTGTTAACTGGATTAGGGAATTCCCAGCAAATCCCTTTACTGTCTTGTTTTTTTCAACCCATTCTTTTACAATGGTTTTTATAAGTACATGAGTAAATAGCCTGGTTCATGAGTCATTTCCTTATATGTTGGTTCTAAATGTATAATTCCATGTAATACAATTGAATTAGGGTTCCTTATAAAAGTTCCTTAAATTTAAATTGGCACAGATAAAAAACGCAAATCTGATAACATAGGTAGTTAGTGCCTTTGTTAAGCATGATGAATAGGCTACGGTTAAATCATGTCTGTGTAATTAATTTTATCTATGTACTTAACAGAACAGTGAAGTGACCTTCAACTACAACCTGCAATGCGCCGGAATTGAGAAGAAACGCTGCTTGTGTGGAGCGAAGCGATGTTCAGGGTATATGGGTGCGAAGCCAAAGCAGGTAGAATTTATGTTACAAACCAAAATAAATACTAAGTAATTGTCCTGTACATGTCATTGGCTAGAACAAGTAATAATAATAATAATAAGGAGCCTTGTTAATATGCTTAATTATGCTTCTTGACTCACCTATACTCATTTCAGAACGAGCCGCAGCCTAAGAAGCCGAGGAAGGACCCAACTGCCAAACGCGCCTACAGAAAGAGGAAGAACGTCGAGCTCTCGCCAGTGGGGAGAGGTCGGCCGCCGAAGAGGCGGGTTTCCCGCTCCAAGCCTCGCGAGCTCACCGACATCGAGAGGGACCTCTTAATCATCAGGAGCGCCACCGACGGCATGTCCAGCGATGAGGAATCGACTAAGGACGGACAGAAGCGGAAAAGGCCACGCACATTGTACGATGAACCGACCGCAGACGACGGCGGGAACTCGCCAAGCGCGAAACGTTCTAAAACGCAAGTCGAAGTGGGCGATTGATCGCTCTGGCAGCTGGTCGGCGTGCCATACAGCGAGCGTTGGCAGGCCTGGCACCGTCCCGGCTGCGTGAAATGGGATTTCGGCCAGTGCCAAACGTAGTGCGTGAACGTTGAACGGAAATAAGTGCTTCCTAATATGTGTATAATAGTTTGAAACAATTACGTATTGAGAATATAATTATTTCTGTTGTCCGTACTCTCACACCGGACGGATATATCTGTTGAAATTGAATGCCGTTATTTGGGAATTGAAAGGAAATAAGCGTTCGATAGAGTTCGTCGAATAAAATTCCTGGTGTAGTATAGTTTATGGTTCAATAAATCGTAAAACAAGTTGGAATATTATCTAGCGGCCAGAGCCGGTACTGAGTGCATTATAGCCCTTAGCCATAGACGTATTTTCGGCGTGATGGAGTTACGCGATTACGTATTCTATTGTAATGTACATATTATATACTGTTTAGTTTTTATCAATATTGCTTGATACATATCGATGCAGGCACCTGGACGAATAAAGTGTATACTGAAAACCTCTTTTATTTATTTTATAAGCTTGATTCTAGAAAAACTCACAACTCAACCCAATTTGATTTCAGCCACTTTCATTTCAGTGTTTAAAATACTTGTTGGTATTTCATAAGAAAAAAGTGAAAAAATGCAAGTTATGAAGCAAACGACGATGACAATGAACTTTTTTAAATAGCCGTTATCAATCGAAATTGATTTTTGGACATAGTTAATTATCAGTTAAAGCTGCAGTTCATAATTGAGGGTACTGAACGTGCCAAATGGGCTAGTACATGCCATCCGAGCCCTCCTGTCGAATCGCTCTTTCCCAATACTGACCGCAGGGACTCCAAGAGCTATCCACTCATGGCGGGCGTACTTCAAGGTTCCTGTCTCTGCCCCTCGCTCTTTTCGCTCTACATGAGCGACGTCCCTAAAGTCCCACGTTTCGATCTTGCACTTTTCGTGGACGACACCGCTCTTTTCCATTCGGACAACCATCTTTACCTAATAATTCGCCTATAAAGCTCTCCTCAAGGATTTGCGAAACAAATGTTGACACCGGAAAAACCGTAAATAACTAGGGAATACACTTGACTCGTGCTAACGCCACAGCCAATTCGAATCTCAATCATCAATTGGATGACTCCGTGGCGCATTTGCCAAGGTATTGACTTCGGCGTTGGGGGTCGTGGGTTCGATTCCCGTGACAACTATTTGTGCGACCCACACATAGTTGTTGCGCATCTGGGTGTTTGTCCACGTGAAATTTGTGTTTGTAAAACGTCCTTACACAGGATAATGTTATCCTAAAGTAAGGGCAATAAAACAAAAAAATCTTCCACTCGTATCCGAGCTTGTTAAAATAGAAAACCATCTTTTACGGCCAACTTATCATCTCTCCTAAGAGAGAAGGTCAAATACCTCAATATTGAAATTTTAAATTACATTAAAATTTGTAGAAAAATAGGCGATAGGGTTTTTCGCCAGCGCAAGCTAATTTTATTAGCCGTTGAACTTAACGATAAAAATATTTTTCAAAACCGACTTCAAATATCTCGCTCTGTATTCATTTTATAATTGATTTTGAGGATTTCCCTACGTATCTTCGGAGCCCATGATCCAATACCAATGAAGTTAATATGGGACCACATGGGAAGCACCAGCTTTCAATTAAAAAAAGAATCATCAAAATTGGTTCTCTCGGCCTAAAGTTCTGAGGCAACAAACATTAAAAAAAATGCAGTCGTATTGAGAACCTCCGTTTTTGGAGTCGGTTGAAAACTGTCAATTTTGGAAGACGGGCTCGATTCTCACGGCGGCGATGGTTTTCTCTTCTATATTTCTACAAATTTTAACGTTCTTAAATTGCGGTAGGGCCAAGAAACACCTTTGGCTGTTGCACAAAAGGACAGGTCCGTTTGCGTACGCATCACGACCTCACAGAAGATCGGCGTGAGGTGGAAGTGTCATACTTCCGCGTTTCATCTGTTGAGTGAGGTAGCCGGGACCCACTTTACTAAAAGGTGACAACGCATCTGCAACCCTACGAGCTGTTATCACTTAACATCAGGTGAACCCCCACCTCGCTTGCCGCCTTCTCACATAAACAAAAAACACATTGAACATTGCCGGGTAGAAACGCTCCCGCGTTATAAACATTCTATCCGGCAGATTATAACCTAACAAACCCGTCAAGGATAATTCCCTTAAGGCAAAGCTTTTGTTACACAAGGCTTGCGTACGTCCCAATATTTCCTACGCTTGTTTGTTTGCTCACGTAAGCCTCACAAGCCTGTATAAACTTCAGGTAGGTAATTCAAAACAAGTTCATTGGCCTCGCAACCGGTGCTAGGTAGTAGCAACGTAACGTCTACCTGGACGGATTGCAGACTCTCGACGCTACTGGAATATTTGAGAAGACCATCTTCTTCTTCAACGCATCCTTATTATATTGCAACATAAACGCGAAGGGTCACAAACGCTGCTCCTCATCGATGGTCGAGGTAGAGCACATAGTTGCGTTGAACCCACCGGGAATACCGCTGGGCAACACTATTCTTCACTATATAGTATAAAACAAAGTCGTCCCACTGTCTGTCTGTCCCTATATATGCTTAGATCCTTAAAACTACGCAACGGATTTTGATGGGGTTTTCTTTAATAGATAGAGTGATTCAAGAGGAAGGTTAAAATGTATAATTCATGGATTCACTGATAATTTTAGAGGTTTCTATACCATGTCGAAAACAAATATTCAGCATTGCACCCACGCGAAACCGGGGCGGGTCGCTAGTTGGGTATACTACTCAATTAATATCAATTAACTCGACCTCGCTTACTAGCAGGACCAAACCAACAATACATACTCAAGGTACACGCTCGCCAGGGCTGTTCACACTGCCATCTATTAAACATTCATAAAAGTGAGTCCCACGGTCCGGACCGAACCTCGATGGCCCGTAGATGACATATCTCTCGCAAGATCAATCACGCACGCATGAGTACATATGCACCCCCACCCACCCCGGAGAGCCGTATCAAGCTCGTAGGATCTCTCTAACCCACGAATTCTGTATGGGCTTGAAATTATTAATTTACATATATATATTTTAATGCAATGCAGATGCGTTGACAATCTTTAAAAAATGGGCCCCGTTTACCACACTCAACAGACAAATAGCGAAAGTAATATAAAATACATTCTGCCTTCTAGCCGTGGCGCGTGGTTTCAAGTAAATGATAAATTGCATTGCCGAGTAGGTGGGACACCGAGTTATTATATTATCCATATAAGAGACTATTTATTTACTCGCTGCAGGGGATGAGGCATATTTAATTTCTACTCGCAAGAAATATTTAAAACAAAAAAACATTGATGCACTGACTGGAATCCAACCCACAATCTAAGGAAGAAAGTTAATGAACGTATTACAAATTTATGAAAAAATATAGTCAGGTAAAATACGTTATCTGACTATATTTTTGCAATGTTAAAAAAAATCATGAAAATCGGATCAAATAATCTCCGAAGCGCAAATGCATACCTACACAATTGCACACAAATGGACTGTTGAATAAGATGTGAGTAGACAGAAATGTAAAACTGCCTAAAATACATCATTATTTTATTCTCTCGCTGTGGGACTGCACTTTAATCAATTCTTTTTGCAATTAACGAGATTTACTGCGCTGTAATGGACAATTGGATGCAACGCGCCATTATTAGATAAGCCTTTAGTCTACATGCTTGTCTAATCTTTTATATAATACTAGCTGACCCGGCAAACGTTGTTTTGCCATATAAATTATTTATAGGGTAGAAAATAATGTTTGGGGTGGACCACCCTTAACATTTCGGGGGATGAAAAATTGATTTTATGCGATTCTCCACCCTGGCCGCAATGTACACAAAATTTCACGAAAATCGGTCGAGCCGTTTCGGAGGAGTTCAATTACAAACACCGTGACACTAGAATTTTATATATTAGATATACATCTTAACAATAAATAAATAAAAAAATGATATTGTAAGCGAAATTCTTCTAATTGACGCTAGTAGTAGGTAATATTGCAAAGTACAACAATATACAATTAATTGTTTATCATGGTGGTGGCATATTATTGTGAGAGCTTTCTTGAATTAAAAAAAATCATTGATAATACCTACCTCTATAGCAATATATCATTCTATAGATATATCGCCTGCACGTGGGGCGCCGTTAATTGAGCTGTAAAGACATGGTTGCCCTCCTCCCTAGGAAACTACTGTATTAAATCACGTGAATTTATAAATGTTTCCTATATCTCCTCTAAGCAGCAAAGGTATTTAAATTCAGACCAGGCAGACGACTTCAAAAAAAAAACAACCCCCTGGGCAGTCGGGTAAAAAAAATATGGCCATAAGTTTGTCTTATTAACGTTCAGTCGTTTTTAAACATTTTGTATGCAAGTTTCTGCACCATAGATTTAAGAAAAATTACATATCTTAATTTTCATCTCATTAATTTTCTTTTACAAAACGTAAAGAATCAAGCCTTTAAAAAAATCGTCAGTTTTTGCCCATTCACCCACAAAAATTAATTTCACCCTAGTGTTCAATTTTAAAAATTGCTATTCAATAATCAGTTAGTTGATTAGAGAAAATACCACATCCATTTCAAATTAAAGACTTTATTACTGGATCCTTGTTAGCGTTTCGGTCCAGAGATATATATACAGTGGGTGCGATAAACTAAGACGAGAGCTCTTAAATACCAACAACTGTTCGTAGTCAGGGTGAACTAAATTTACCGCAAAAGAATTACGCGCGGGAATCTTTTATCTAGGCGAAGTTATCATTTCTACCTCGAGCTTTCCTGTTTAATCATTTGTAAACAATTGTATAGTAACGCTTTTACTCATGTACGAAAATTGAACACTAAAAAGATCTTTTACAAAAAGAAAAGTCAGCACGAGACTTTTCTTCTGTGGTTTATGGTTCGTAGTTAC